TGGTGGCTCTCTGAGAACCTACCTCACACAAATTATGTATTGTTAGATGGTCTTTCAGTGACAGTCTATCAAGCAGTTGGCAAAATGAGGTGGATCTCAAGGTGCCTTCGACATTTTTCTGACTTTCCTCCAACTTGGTACTGGTGGAAGCAAACTTTGATATGCAGCTTGGCCCCTCCCACAAGCACTCAAGCCCAGCAAAGGCAACCACCAACCATGGATCACTTTTTAACTCTTAACAGGTAGCTCAGGGCCTGTGACAGGCAGGGTCTGATATTGAGCTGTTCCAGAGACCCTCCCAAATGGATCCATAATCAATACACATGGTGGTGAGCTTTGGACCACATCAGAGCACAACCAGAATAGCTACACAAGTGGCACACTCAAATGGATATCTCAGCAGGCACCAGAACTTGCTGGAGCAAATTCCAATTTGTGGGGTCAGCCTTCACATAACAACTTGTACATTTTGGTCAGTGTTAATCCTCAGTCAGCAAGCAGACAGGCCAGCAGTAATCAAAACTCAACTACAACAGGACAGCTTACATAACCCACAAAGGACCATTTCTGGAGTACCTTACTTGTTTGATCATGGAGATTGCACTACTGAGCCCCATAGGACACCTACTACATACGGCCACCATACAAAGACTGGGAGACATTGCAGAATTACCTAATACACAGAAACAAATATAGATAGGCAGGCGAAATGGGGAGACAAAGAAACCTGCCCTAAATGAAAGAACAGGAGAAATCCTCAGAAAAAAAAATCTAAATGAAATGGAGGCAAGCAATCAACCAAGTGCAGAATTCAAAGCAATGTTTATAAGACTGCTCAAGGAACTCTGAGGAAGAATGGATCAACTCAGTGAGAACATAAACAAAAAATAGTAAGCCTAAAAAAGGACAAAAAATATTTAAAAGAGGAAGAAATGAAGAATACACTAGAAGGAATCAACCGGCAAATTATGTGAAGCAGTGGATCAAATCAATGATTTGGAAGACAAGGTAGCAGAAAATACTCAATAACAGCATCAAAAAGAAAAGAGAATTTTTTAAAAAATGAGAATAGTTCAAGGGAACTTTGGGACATGATAGTGATACAATAAGGAGAAGAGAGAGAGCAAGGGATTAGAAACATATTGGAAGAAATAATGACTGAAAACTTCCCTAACCTAATTAAAGGAACACAAGTCCAGGAAATGAAGAGAGTCTCAAACAAGATAAACTCAAACAGAACCACACCAAGACACATAATTACAATGACAAATGTGGGAGTGATGTCAGAGCAATGGCAGCGTGAGAGATATCCTTGGACTCTCCCCATGAAATTTCAACAAATTAACCAACTATAATTCAACAAAAATTCTCTACTGAACACAGAGACATGCCTGAGAGACCAGCACACTGAAACATCTAAAGGTGAACAACCAGGAATAAGCAGGAAGACAAGAAGAGAGGAGACCTCAGAAGCAGCCCTGCAGCTGGAAACTCATGACCTGGCCAAGAGAGAGAGAAAGACTGGGGTAGCAGGTGCTTTCTTCAGTGGGCCAGAAGGGACAGAGAGCTCTGGAGGGCAGTCCAGCAGGGCAAGTGGAGTGAACAGTGACTGAGCCAGTAGATGCCTGACAGAGTGTGGGGTTCTGCCTTGGGGCTGCCCACTGTCAGGCGAGGGTGTTTCTGACAAAGAAATGGAACCACAGAGCCCTGCCACCCCTTGGGCTCCCAAAACTCACCTCAAGTTGTCCTCGGTGTCAAGGAACACTTTATCTGTAAACTAAGACCTATTGCAGTGGAACCACTGTTTCCCTCTGTGAGTGATCCTCAGGTTTGGGACTGGACCCCACGGAGGTCAGGGCTACCATTATAGTGAGCGCAAAACAAACCCCACCCACAAGCAGCACCACTGTATTGTCTTATGGAAGCCCATGGAGGTGAAGTCTGGGAAATCACAAGGTAAAAAAAACCAAAAACTTGTGATTCAGCACCATCTACTGGAAAATAGTAGAAAGGCCTCTTCAGAGAACACTGTTATAGATGGGACATTTATGCCTAGATGGAGAGGAGCAAATACCATGAATAATCACGGTAATGAGGATGACCAGAAAGAAAATGAAAAATCCCCAGAAAGCAAGCTGTAATACATGGAAATATGTGATATAAATGACAGAGATTTTAAGATTGCAGTTCTGAAAATACCTAAGGAGATGTGAGAAAATACATACAGGCAAATCAGTTCTCTCAGAAAACTAATCAATGAAGAAAGCAAGTACTTTACTAAAGAGATTGAAATTTTAAAAAAGAACCAATCAGAAATCCTGGAAACTAAGCATGCAATTAAGGAGATTAGGAATGAGCTACTGAGCATAAAAAATAGAGCCAACCAGATGGAGGAAATAATTAGTGATATTAAAGATAGGAATCTAGAAATGATTTGGAGGGAAGAAGAGGGAGACCTGAGCATAAAGAAAAGTGAAAGAGCTCTACAAGAACTATCTGACTCCATTAGAAAAAGCAATATCAGAATTTTAGGCATTCCCAAAGAAGAGAGGGACAACGGAACAGGGTGTCTATTCAAACAAATAGTGGATGAGAACTTCCCAAACCTATGGAAAGAACTAGATGCATGATTCCAAGAAGCAAACAGAACACCTAACTACTTCAAAGAGGCCCTCTCCAAGGCACATTACATTAAAACTGTCAAAAATTAATAACAAAGAAAGAATTCTCAGAGCAGCCAGGGGAAAAGAAAGAAGTGACCTACAAAGGAAAACCCATCAGAATTTCATCCGACTTCTCAGCAGAAACTCTACAAGCCAGAAGAGAGTGGAACCAAATATTCAAATGTCTGAAAGAGAGAAATTACCAGCCACAAATAGTATATCCAACAAAATTATCCTTTAAATATGAAGGAGAAATAAAGACATTCCTAGACATACAGAAGCTGAAAGAATTTATTATTAGAAAGCCTTTATTGCAAGAAATACTCAAGGTAGTTATTCTACCCGAAGCAAAGAACATACGGTCACAAAACTAGGAGTAAGATCACCAAAAAACTTACAGAATAAACAGATAATTTGTGACAACAAAAACATAAAAGGCAAAGGGGTAAAGGTCTGAACTCGCAGAGGATGAACATCAGATGCACTCAAAAGAAAAAGAAAAAAACACTATTGTATATATGTAACTTTATTTTTTATAAACCTAATGGTAACCACACTCAAAAATTCCCAAACCAGGACACATAGCTTAAAAAAGAGGACACAGAGAAATGAAGTATGAGACACCACCAAACAAAAACAACAGACAGAAGTACAAAGGAAAAGAACCAATGGAGGCACAGAGCTACCAGAAAACAAAAGATAAAATGGCTATAGGACTACTCAGCCATAAGAAAAGATGAAATACTGCCATTTGTAACAGCATGGGTGGACCTTGAGAATATTATGCTAAGTGAAATAAGTCAGTTTGAAAAAGCTAAGAACCATATGATTTCACTCATATGTGGGATATAAAACTGAAACTCATAGAAACATACAATCTTCCAAGAATGACTCAAAAAGAAACCGAATATCTGAACAGACCAATTACAAACAATGAAATCAAAATAGTAATAAAAAAAACTCCCAACAAAAATAAGTCCTGGACAGGCTGGCTTCACAGGTGAATTGTACAAAACATTCAAAGAATAACACTTATCTTTCTCTAAGTGTTTCAAGAAATTCAAGAGGAAGGAAGAATCCCAAGCTCTTTTTCCAAGGCCATCATTATCTTGATTCCAAAACCAGATATAGACACTACTAAGAAAGAAAATCATAGGCAAATATCCCTGAGGAACATAAATTCAAAAATCCTCAGCAAAATATTATCAATCCAAAATCAATAGATTAAAATGATCATAAACCATGATGAAGTGGGATTTACTCCTGGAATGCAAGTTTGGTACAATATCCTCAAATTAGTTAATGTGATACACCACAAAAAACAAAATGGTAAAAATCATATGACAGTATCAATAGATGCAGAAAAAGCATTTGACAAAATCCAACATCCATTTCTAATAAAAACTCTCAGCAAAGTGGGAATAGAGGGATCATACCTCAGCATAATAAAGGCCATATATGACAAACCCACAGCTAACATTATACTTGGTGGGCAAAAACTACAAGCATTTCCCCTAAGAACAGGAACAAGACAAGGTTGTCCACTTTCACAACTCTTATTCAACGTATTACTGGACGTCTTAACCACAGCTATCAGACTGGAAAAGTAAAATTAGTAGGAGACCTATGTGTATGTAAATCTAGGTTAAGTAATCATAAGGCAGCACAGTGATGTAATCCTGACACTCTTTGTTTTGGTTTTATTCCTTTTTTCAATCCTTGCATCAGAATATGGTTTTATTGGTTTAGAGAGAGGAAGGGAGAGAGAAACATTGAGGTGAGAGACAAACATCAAATGGTTGCCTCCTGTATATGCCCCAACTGGGGTTCAAACCTGCAACCTAGGTATGTACTTTGACTGGGAATCAAACCTGCAACCCTTTGGTACACAAGATGACATTCCAACCAACTGAGCCACTTGTTCAGGTCCTGACCTTGTTATTTTTAGAATATATGTAGTGTGTATCCTAGAAAAAAAGTTGAAAGAATATACATTAGAATGTTAACAAATGTTATTTCCAGGATTCTGCATAATTGAAATTCTCTTCTTTTTAAAATTTATCTGTATTTTTTACAATGACATGAATTACTTGCGTGAATATAACCATTTAAAATAAACATTGCTTAATTGCTACCAGTTAAATTTGTTTATTTATTTTATTCTAGTACACTTTCATGTTATAAAGATAAATATCATGAAAATGCCCATTTCAAAATGGGAGAACACAGAGTAAAGGCTGTGTAAATAATTTAGTAATGTAGCACATCTCACCATGATGATCCTATCTATAATATTCTTTCTTTTGATTATTCTAATTTTTAAAATTTGTTCCACAGCTACAAGACCGAACTCAGTTCAGTGACAGAGACTTAGCCACCCTTAAGAAGTACTGGGACAATGGCATGACCAGCCTTGGCTCTATCTGTAGAGAGAAAATTGAAGCAGTTGCAAATGAATTAAATGTTGACTGTGAAATAGTCCGGGTAAGACATTTTCAATAATTTTCGTGGTGTGGTTGATGATCGTCTTAAATGAAAGCTTTAAAATTATATGAGATGATGTAAATATTACCATCAATAAATTGAAAGATAACCCAAATTATGGGAGGAAATATGTTCAAATCATATATCTGATAAGAAACTTATATCCACAGTATGTAAAGAACTCTTACATCTCAATAATAAAAGGCAAATAATGCAATTTTTAAAATAGGCAAAGAATTTGAATAAATATTTATCCAAAGAAGATATACAAATGGTCAATAAACACACAAACATTTCTTGTACTTATGAAAATTTAAACCACAATGAGATACCACTTAGTATCTACTATAATGGCTAGAATAAAAAAGAAAGATAACCACTGTTAGCTAGGATGTGGAGAAATTGGAACCATTATATACTTCTGGTGAAAATGTAAAATGTTTTAGCCACTTTGGAAAACAGTCCTGTAATTTTTTTAAATATATCTTTATTGATTTCAGAGAGAGGAAGGGAGAGGGGGAGGGAGAGATAGAAACATCAATGATGAAAGAGTGATTGATCAGCTGCCTTCTGCACACCTCCCACTGGGGATTGAGCCTGAAACCCAGGCATGTGCCCTGACTGGGAATTGAACCGCAATATCTTGGACCATAGATCAACACTCAATCGCTGAGCTACACCAGCTGGGCCAATTTTTAGCAGATTTATTATATTACCCAGAAATTGCACTCAGGTATATACCCAAAGAAATGAATCTCATGTCCACTTAAAAACTTATATATAGATGTTCTTAACAGTGTTATTCATAATACCAAAGAGTGGAAATAACCCAAATGGCCATCAAGTGAATGGGTAAACAAAATGTGACATATGCCTATAATATACTATTATAGAGCCATATAAAGGAATTAAATACTGAAGTATGCTACAAAATAGATGAATCTTGAAAACATTATGGTAAGTGAAAGAAACCAATCCCAAAAGACCACATATTGTATGATTCTATTTATACAAAATGTCCAGAATTGGCACATCTACAGAGACAGATTAGTGGTTGCCAGCAGCTGGGTGTATGGAGGAATGGGGAGTGACTACTTAAGGGTAAAGGTTTTCCTTTTTTGGTGATGGAAAATATTTTGGAATTAGATAGTGGTGATTTTTGCGCAACTGTTTGATTATATTAAAAACATTTTCATTGCATACATTAAATGAGTCAATTGTATGGTATTTTGAATATGTCTCAGTAACGCTTTAAAAAATTGCATGAGGTGATCTGAAATATATGTCACATATTATGTAATGAATGATAGGTTGAAAATTATATTGATCTGTCTGGCAAACAGCAGTTTTCATTCCATTTGAAAGATGTCAATATAAGATTTAAATAGTGGCAGCTGTGCTGGTAAATATTTAACAATCAGACTTTTAAGGGAAACATTTGTTTATTTCCATGGTATGAAGATTCCCACCATGGTTGATTGCATGGCTCATTCAATGCGGAGTTCAGAAGAAATACCAACAGTTGGCTCTCATGAGCACATATGAGTAGGCTTCAGCTCACACTAAAGGATCATCCCAGAATAGAAATAGGGAATTACTATTTAAGAACAAGTGACAAATCACAGAACTCTTTTAGATGAAGAAATAGAGTTATTTTCTCATACATACATGAAGATGGAGAAGTATAGGGAGAAGTCATATAGCACAGATTTATCAAAGTAAATACTATTTTCAAAATCCTTTCCTGTTTAGAGACTTGATTTTTATTTTGTTAGGATCCATATGGGGCACTCAGAATCTAGATAGAGAAGTGACATGAGAATACAAATGACTGAAGAGAAATTGGAATAGAATTATGGTATGAGGAACCTAAGCAAAAACCAAAAATAGGAAAATGAAGAGCATGTGTTTTTGTTGTAATTGTCATTTATTTTTATTTTTTAAATCAAAGTTATGCATGAACATAGCTTAAGGAGGCTAGTTCTATAGAACTTTCTACAAAACAGTTCTCACTCTTTTCTTCCTACCATTTTCCAAGATCTAGAGTAAACCACTTCCCACTCTTTTTGATGATTTCTTTGGTATTTACCTCCATCTATGAATAATGTGCTGTATTAATTAGAAGTAGGCTTAGTTTTGAGTGACAAAAGATTCAGAATAACAGTGGCTTGCACAAGATATTCAATTACATGTACAAACCCAGGAATATTCAATTTAAAACTGGCATAACAGTTCTGCCCTATGAAGTCCTCAAAGACTTTGGTACCTTACAGCTTCCATTCTGCCATCACTATAATATATTCCTTGTTCTTAAGGTCCAAAATTATGGCATTTATGGACCAAGCAGCATGACAAAAGTGGGGAGAAAGAAGGGGCAATGGCTATACCAGCTATCTAAAGGGGTTTCCCAGAAGCTGTCACAAAACACATTCACTTACATACCATTGGCTAATGACATGGTCATACCTAATTGCAAGGGAAGCTGCAAATGTAGTTATATTGTGGGATGCCAATTTAATTTCTATTATCCTGTAAGAGAGAAAGTAGATATTGGAGAATAACTAGCAGTCTCTCATATCTGTTTTTATCCCTACTTTTTAATTTTACAGTGCTAGGTATTGTTGATTGATTTTCTACTATGAAATGTGAGGCTTTTTAAAAATCTATTTCAAGATCTCTTCATTAGCCCGGCCGGGCATGACTCAGTGGTTGAGCGTCGACCTAGGATCCAGGCGATCAAGGTTTGATTCCCGGTCAGGGCACATGCCTGGGTTGCTAGCTCGATCAATGACTCTCTATCACTGATGTTTCTATCACTCTCTCTCCCTCTCCTTTCCTTTCTCTGAAATCAATAAAGATATATATTTTTTTTTAAAAAAGATCTCTTCATTAATTCTTTCACCTACATGTATACTTCTCTTCTTATCCTCCCAGTATAGTTATTTTATAATTTTCGTTAGTTTGATACTCAATGTTTGATGTAAATGCTTTTCACATTTGAATTATATAGTATAATATTATGTGTCCTTTTATGCATAACATTGTGTTGTTTCTTTGGAGTTCATTATTTACTTAGTTTTTGTTTTTTGTAAGTTTGCTTGCTTGATTTTCTATGTACTTACTACTAATTTGTTATCAAATCATATCCCAGTTGTATATTTCTCCTCTCAGTATATTTATACACATTTGTCAGTGTAACAATCTTATCATCTTGAAGAATCTTCTCCTGGAATCCTGTAATCTGCTCCAAACTGAATCGGCTACTCTGCACCTGGAGCATGACTGAGATTTAAATTTTCAGTCTTTTTGTCCAATTGCTTTACTTTCAGTAATATCTCCCCAAATTTATCTTCCAATCTTGCTACTGTTTTTATCACTTTTGTTTGCATTTGATCTGCCACTGATACTAATAAATACCAGGCACTATGACAGAAGCTATCAGGCTCCACTAACTGCCACAAGGGCTCCTTGAGACATCATACTGCAGGAGAGAGGAGACAGAAACAGAGTATTCCTAAAAACATACTCTTTCAAAATGAAAGATGAGATATGCACAGGGTTCCTAGGTAGGATTCTCTTCAATACCATCAGGTTTTAGGACTAATTGTTGTTAAAAAAAAAAAAAAAGGCCAAAGCCCATGATATCAGAACCTTCACTCAGCCATTGCTATGTACAGAGCCTTGAATCCCTGTGGAATACTATGCAACTAAAGAAGAAGGATCTCATACCATTTGGGGCAGTACGGATGGACCTGGAGAACATTATGTTAAGCGAAATAAGCCAGGCAGAGAAAGACAAACATCACATGATCTCACTCATATGTGAAATTTAAGAACTTAATAAACTAATGAATAGAAATGGTTCACTGACATGGAAGCATGGATCAGACTGACCAATCTCAAATGGAAGGAGAGGGGTGGGTGGGTGGAAGGGGAGACATTAACCAAAGAACTTATATGCATATATTCATAACCCAAGGACACAAACAATGAGGGACTGGAGAGGGGGGTGGGGCGGGGTGGAATGGGTCAATGGAGGGAAAAAGGGACATCTGTAATATTTTGAACAATATATATGTATTTTTTAAAAGTCCTAACATACAGGGGGGGAAAAGAAGCGTTACCATTATCTTCTTGCTTAAGGCCAATTAAAACTTTTACTAGAGGAATAAATAGGAAACTATTTATTATCCTTTTGTTTCTAATAATTTCCCAAAATGTCTGCCTGCCCACGGCAGAGAGAAAATTTGAAAATGTGATGTGTTGTAAGTGGAACTCTTTTGTAATATTTGGTAGATTATCTCTGAAGAAGAATATGTTTGCCACATAAATATATTTTTTGAGATGTCAGGAAAGATTATGTAGATGTTTTTAAGTATAATAGATCTTCTAGTTATTGATCACCAAGATGAACTTTGTCTCAGAATGTCTATTTAGCGATTATTTGTGGTATAATTTGGAAATTTCAGGTGCATGTTTTCTTGTTATATCTTATACTTTAAAAAGAGTAAGAAGCAGACTTGACATATTATTCTTTTAACCTTATTGAGTGTTATAACTTGTAATGCTCTTCCCAGGTTAGTGCCTATTGTTTATTGACATTCATTCATCAAAGGTAATCTGAACACCTGTTGTGCACCAGAACTCTTCTAGGTGCCATGGAAAAAAAATGCAGCTCTCCTAAGAACTTACAATTTAGCATGGTATTTTTTAAAAATGTGCTTTAGTTAACAGCAAATGGAGATAATATAACAGTGTTATTTTGAGGTAATATATGTCGATAATAAGCATAAAGTATTATAAGTTCTCAAAAATAGTTACCTCCCCTATCTCTCTACATATTAGTTTATGCCTGTCCTTTCCATCTGCGTTTGCTTATAGTGGACAATATTCAAAATGTATTCTTATGTGGTCAAATTTCTGTATAAACAACAAATGTTTGGAATATATTTTTAAACACAAATAAATTTCATGGAAAACAGATGTATGTTTTTACATTT